ACAAGTGGATAGATTAAGGGCAGGTTTGCCTGGAGAGATCCCATCCCTCCTTAAAAGGTACAGGGGGACACAGGACTCCCAAAAAATGCACAATGGCAGAAAAAGGCATCTAGTGCATCCCTACATCCAATTCAACCAACTGTACAAGTGGCAACCACCCCATCCTTTAGCCAACCTTTAGAGCAAAGTGCACATGGAAGGGCAACACACAGAAATTTCCCAGCACAGATAGCAGTGTTCGTAGGGCGCTCTGCATAGGTATGACCTCTAGGAGAAGAGTATCTTGGGCATCGAGTGGAGAGAAGGGAGACCAGGTAATGAGAGCATAGCAAGCACTGGAGCAGCTCTGCGAGAGTGGAAGCGGACTCCAGTAACAGTAAATAGCACTTAGAAGCGCCTTCCTTGCTATTTAAATTTCCCAGAACACTTACCAGCCAACCTGAAAAACAACCAAATTGACGTTAAAAACAGAGGGTTTTGTTTGCACACATTTGCAAATATTTGTGTAAAAGCGGTTTTATTATTGTCATCATTGCCTTTACACATTCTTTGATATATTATTTAGAGGCTGCGCTACACATCTATATATGTATTGTTTTGGATTAATGCTGAAAACTCTCCACTGTGTTGGAGGCAGCCTCTTAATTTTATTGTAACTTACACGGACACAAATTGTGGTTTCGTTATTTATTCATGTGATTTAGCAGAGCACCAGTTTCTTTGATATCATACCATTAATGCGACACCGGCGCTACACGTCTGCTTTGATTTGTTACAGCAGAAGCTGGTCAACAGGTGTCGGCCTATGAATCACTGCTGGTACCTGCTGGTACCTGCTGATCAGCAAGGAGACACACATTGCTTACATATGCAGAGCTCCATCCTGTCAGCAGAGATGTGTTGGATTTTGCTTCCCTGCAAAAGCATCTAAAAATAAACACATTGGTTAGGTACCCAGCTTACCCTTTGATTGCTCTAGATGTTTAACCCTTCCCAGTCAGTATCTTTAGTACAGTGACAGTGTATATTTTTAGCACCGATCACTGTATTAGTTTCACTGGTTCCCACAAAATTTTAGTTAGTGTCAGATTGTCCGCAGCAATATCACAGTCCATCTATAAGTCGCTTATTGCTGCCTTTACAAGTACAAAAAATTAAAATTCAAGTATATATCCCATAGTTTTTAGACACTAAAACTTGAGCAAACCAGTCAATATGCAGATTTTTTCTTTTTACCAAGAATATATACAATACATATTGGCAATGCGGTGATCAAACACAATAAAAAAAAAAAGCTCTGTTTATGGGGAAAAAAAATGACATATATTTCATTTATGTAGAGCATTGCATGACCAGGCTTATAGCACAAAATGGCCTGGTCAGGAAGGGGGTAAATCTTCCGGAGGTCAAGTGGATAGAGATATTTTGGTTGTGTTAGTTTAGGCTTAATTACAATGAATCCTCACTGCATCTAGCACAGTCAAAGGTTCCTTTAGCTTTGCCATCCAAAATCATGCCAGAAAACACAGTTGGTTACAAAATTGTTGCCTGTGAATCTGCAAAAGAATTTACCAAGGCAAAAAAACATAAAAAGTACATTTTTGCAATGCACATTCACCCATGATTTAGTCTTTTAAAGACCCTGCAAGAGCATAAAAATATCTGTTGATCTCTTACAAATGCACTTGGCTAAATCCTGTTGTGTGCTGAAACGTGCTACATTTTTGCATTTACGCATTCTTAACAAAAAGGTTAAACAGTAAGTGTGCAGAGACACCTTTAGGCGAGTTAAATGAAACCAAAAAAAGCCCGCTGGTGGACCAGTCAGTAGAGGCACCCGTTGTTGTCTAAGAATATGTAGAAGTCATCAGGTTTTAAAAACATCAACAAAAAATGTGTTTGCAAAAAACTCAAGATGACTCCGACCTACCCTTAGATAGACGACAAAGGAAGCCTCTGACGATCAGACCACTGACTGGCTTTTAGATATGCTTAACTCACCTAGTTCCAAATAACCACCTGAGAACCTCTCTGAGGATCCAGGAATGGGATCCCCATGGCATCGAGTGTTACCAGTTTTGATCCTGGGTGCAGACACACTACTGATAAACCTGGTAAAGTAATTGTCACTCCTGAGTCAACTCAGTACACTCTAAGGCCTCTCCTGCCTTCCTCTTTCTTTTTCAATGGACACCCCAATGTTCGCACGGTTACCACCATCCAGTCCCTAGAGGATCGAACCACTATAAAAACTTTGTGGACCATCACATCCCATATCTCAGAAGACAGCTCTGACTTTCTGACAAAAGCAGCAAGTGTTTTTTGCACTTCAAACAGGTATAACAAAATGTTTCTAATGCTAAATTAAAATTCCAAATGGAAGCAAATAAAAGATGTTTGTTAGGGTTTACATGCACTTGAACATCTATTGCAAGACCTAAAGACACTCTCAACCAGGGTTCCATGAAACTGTAGGGTTCCTCCAGAGGATGCTAGGATTCCTTTGAATAATGAGCAATGTCTGCCTCTCCAATAAGTAAACACTGACATCAATTACTTTTTTAGCTATCTATAATGGACATTCTTTCCACTAATCACTAATGTATGGAACATTCTCTTCAATGAACACCAATGTAAGGGAGTATTCTCCAACAGAACACTAATCGAAGACCTTTTCAATGAACCACCAATCAAAACAGACACCTTACTTACTACTAGTGATAAGTTGAATGCCTGGGGTTCGGGTTAAGTTGGAGAACTTAACTTGAAGTCAAAAGGAGCCAAATGTGAAAAAAATAATGGCCATTTTCTAAGCAAGGGGTGTCAAACAAATAGCATTGGGGCCTGGACACTGCCCATAGGAACATGTACCAAATACATTTTAAAAAATTCCATTTGGTGAAAAGCAGCAATTTTAATACTGCAACATTTAAAATGCTTATATAACATGCCTGGAGATGCTTTGAACCTGCCTGTTATCTGGTGCATCTCCACAATATAGAAAAAATTTACAGCACAGACATTTACAAAGAAAAAATTCTGTTTAAACTCCTGGTAAAAAGCAGCACCTAGATGCTCCATTCACATTTTTGGGCATTGCCTTCATCTATAACAGACCTTATCCTAGAAGAGGGTCTGTTATAGATCTTAATAGTGAACCCCACCAAAAAAAACAGGTGGGGTTCCCTTAAAAATACATATCAAACCCTTGATTTTGGCAATGATGTCAGCCACTATCCCTGCCCCTTTGTTTACATGGACAGAGATTCCTGGGTGCTGGCAACCACGTTTCCCTTTCACTTTTCATATTCCTGATATGTGCCTGTTGTGCCATGTTTTTGTATGAAAAATGATGCTGTTCTTTTTTAATTGCTTCCTTTGTGTGAATTATTTGGTGTTCCTGCCAGTCCCTTTGCTTTCCTATTACAAACTGACCATGCGAAGCATGAGAGCACAACGTAGTCAGTATCTTCCTGTTCTGGGAACTCCGTTATCTCTCCTTCAATGATCAGACTTGTGCTTACACAACCCCTCCCCCTTCATCCCCTCCCACACAGCCATTCACTGGAAGTTCAGTTTGTTGCTGTTTTTCCTCCCCCAGCTTTCTTAGCTCCTTTGGAAGCTGGGAACAGAGGGTATGTGATCACTTATGAAAAAAGGAAAAAAAGGCATTTATGTTTTTTTAAATATATGCACAAATGTTTTGCTTGTCATTTCTATACTAAACTGAATAGGTTGTTTTACAAGGTGAGGGTTCACATATACTTTAACTGTTAAAGAGGGAAGCTGTACTATATAGTAGGGGTAGAATGGGCTAAAAGTGCCACATTCAAGTGAACACCTGAACAAGTTGAGTTTGGACTGAACTGGGAGATGATCCCTTCTCATCACAACATAAAGGGACATTTTTCTGACCACCAATGTAGGGGGCAATTTTTCACTGACCATCAAAGTAAGAGGACACTCTTTCATTTCACTGGCCATGGATATAAGGGGGCACTTTTTCCAATGACTACCAATATAAGGAAGCACTACAGTTTTCACAGCATTACTTTTCTAACCATTAGCTGGTTATTAATTTGTTTTATTTCATTATTGTTATTGCAAATAATTTTGGTGTATAGAGCAGCCTTGGGTGTCAAATGTGCTCGGTTCACCACATTTCTTATTCTTCTATTCATTCTTATGTTCATCACCTAATGTTCACAAAAACATTTCTTTAGATTTAGCTATAATAAATATTAGCAGAGGTTCCCTGTGGATCTGAAAGTTATTCTGTGGGTTCTTCACTGTTTAAAAGGGTTCAGAAAGGCTGACCTATACTATTGGTCTACTGAGCTCTGGCTGCAGGGTCTAAGATAGTGATGGGAGTGGATTAGTGGGTGATGCCTGAAGGGGGTGAAGCATGGTCCTGGGAAAGGAAGGAGGCAAGTGAAAGACCGAGCAAAATTGAAAGAGTGCCCAGCTGAGTGGGAAAAAAAGTGGATGGTGCAACAGTACCAAAAGGTTGAGGGAGGCTGGGAATGCACAGCATTAAAGTCAGTGTAAGCTGAGAGGGCTTAACTGAGGGTATCCTCAGTTACTGGGCGGCAAGCAAGGTTCCACAATCTGCTGTAGGACTTTTTTTTGTTAACGTTTAATGCTTGTTTAATTAACTTGGTTTCCAATAATTTTTGCCATAAAGTCATTGTTATGTCCTTATTGGGGCAATTGAGAAAAATCGGAGGACTGGGACATCCAGACCTTATGGTTGACTGGCGCCAGCCAACTGATTTGACACTTTTATTTTTTTTTATATATAGTCTTATAGTTCCTATTATATAATCTTGCTTTGTGGTTTTTGCTCTCAAGGCTTCATTTGTGCTGATATTTGTTTGTATTGCCTTTACAGACTGCACCTCATGTACCCCCATTTGGCCCACTCCTACCCCTCACAGACACCTCCTTTCCCTAATGGTGGATATCTTTGGAGTGTCTTAGTGTAACTTTCTTACCCACAAGGAGGTTGAGTAATCTCTATCCACCCATTTGCTCTTCTCTTGACAGTAAACCCTTCCCCTTAGGTTCTAACACCTGCTGCCCTTGCTCCTTATCCCCTCTCCCTCCCCTATTTCTTTTCTTGAGTCGTTACACCCATTGCCCCTCCTTTCTTCCTCCCACTCTACCTCTCTCCTCCTTTCTTCCCACCTCTTTCCCACCCCCTTTTTTTCTCTCCCCTTCTCCCCTTGGGCCCCAACACCCATTCCCTTATTTGCCCCCGCTGGGTGTTTTTTGAGCTTGTGACTTGTCTGCTCCTTCAATACTATGTCAGATGTTAGATTTATGCCCTACAACATGAAGAGACAAAATGTTCTGGAAAAGAGGTCCAAATTGTCCCAAAAACATGAACATCTAAAATCTTACATGGTCTTTCTGCACACCTTACCAAAAATAAAATCCCTAAACCGTACAATCCTAAATTTCCCATAGTTTAGTATAGTACTACTAACTTATTGAAAATCAAAAGTGTTTCTATTTTTTTGTCTAGACATGTTCCAGGGAAGGATGCGGATGTGGTCATATCGGATTAGTTACATTGTTAGTCTGGATGAAAAAAGACAAAAGGTCCATCCAGTTCAACCATTAAAAAGAAAAAAAAAAAGTTATAATCCTATACCCACAGTTGATCCAGAGGAAGGCAAAAAAACCATAGCAAGGCATGATACAGTTTGCTCCTGCAGGGGAAAAAATTCCAGTCATGATCCCCTGAGAGGCAATCTAATATTCCCTGAATCAACTTTACCTATAAATGTTAGTAACCAGTTATATTCTGTGTATCCAAAAAAATAATCCAGGTGTTTTTTTAAAGCAATCCACTGAACTGGCCAGAATCAACTCTTGAGGGAGTCTATTCCACATTTTTACTGCTCTCAGTGAAGAAACCTTTCCGTGTTTGGAGATTAAATTTATTTTCCTCCAGACGTAAAGAGTGTCCCCTTGTCCTCTGTGATGACCTCAGGGTGAATAACTCTACACCGAGTTCACTATATGAACCACTGATGTATTATACTTGTTCATCATATCCCCCCTTAATCTTCTCTTCTCAAGAAAGAATACATTCAGTTCATCTAATCTTTCTAGCTGAGCTTCTCCATGCATTTTATCAGTTTGGTTGCCCTTCTCTGTACTTTCTCCAGTTCCCCAAAGTTATTTTTGTGAATTGGTGCCCAAAATTGAACTGCATATTCCAGATGAGGTTTTACTAATGCTTTGTACAGGGGTAAAATGATATCTCTCTCTCTGGAGTCTATACTTCTTTTAATACAAGAGAGGATTTTGCTCACTTTAGAAACCACAGCTTGGCATTACATGCCATTATTAAGTTTGTGATCTACCAGAACCCCCAGATTCTTCTCCCCCAACTCTACCTCCCCTAGTATGTATGATGCATGCATATTCTTAGTCCCCAAGTGCATAACCTTACATTTATCAACATTAAACCTCATTTGCCACATAGTCGCCAGTTAAACAGTGCATTGAGGTCGGCTTGTAAGTTGAAGACATCCTGTAAGGACGTTATTCCACTGCAGAGCTTGGTGTCATCTACAAAGACTGAAATTGTATTTTTAATCCCAGACCCTATATCGTTTATCAATATATAATTAAAAGTAAATGTCCTAACACTGAACCTTGGGGTACATCACTGCCAACCCTAGACCATTCAGAGTATGAATTATTAACCATTACTCTTTGAATACGATCTTATAGACAGTTTTCTTATAGAGATTTTTCCAAGCCCGTAGACCTTACACATTAGCCGTGTGTGGGGAACTGTGTCAAACGCCTTTGCAAAATCCAAGTATACCACGTCCACTGCCACCCCTCTGTCCAAGATTTTGCTCATCTCCTCATAAAAAGAAATCAGATTTGTTTGACAACTTCTGTCTTTCATGAATCCATGCTGTCTGTTGCTTAAAATATTTTTTTCCAGCAAGAACTCATCTATGTGGTCTTTTATTAAACTCTCCAGTATCTTCCCAACTATTGAAGTTAAACTAACAGGTCTATAATTACTTGGTAAAGATTTTGACCCCTTTTTAAATATTGGCACCACACTGGACAGCAGACTCCTTATCGCTTAAGGTCTAATATATCAATGAAAAACTACCCAAGCCTGCTTGTACCTACTTAATAGAACCTTATCTTGATCACATTTATCAACACAAAGAGGGCATGCTTATCTGGGAAGGGGGGGGGTATCCTGTAATGTAGCGTTTGACCCGTTGTTGTTTTTTTCCTGACTTTAATCCCACCTGTTTTACTCGGCCTTGCGAAGGCTTCAGAAAACTTTTGATGATTACTGCCTGATATACACATGGAGGATGGGTAATGTCCAGGACAGACACTACACCTCTCTGAGCAATCTGCCCAGTCTCCCTTTGTCCCTGAACATGAGACAAGGGACAATACTCAAAGGGTCCTTGATGCGACCTAACACAAGCCAAATCAATCCCCCTGGTTCTCGTTTCCACAGACAGAAAAAACCTGTGATAGGGTTAGCTGGGACTTTATCCAGACTACCCTATCACATATTGGTTTAGGCCCCCACATGCAACTTTGATTGAAGGCCCTTTATTCCAAACCTACAGCCTTGGTGAAAGTGAATGAATAGATTTATGAGTTTTTTTTCTCCATCAGTAATGGTACAAGGCATGGCTGCCCCCTTTACAACTAATTTTCAGCTTATCCTTGGAGCCCTTCCTATATTCTATATGGGCTAACATAGACATTGCTGGCCTTCCAGCTCAGACATTCATAAAGGTGCCGCTTTTGTAAACATTTCACTTTCTTTCTCATCTCCCCTTCTATCTCAATTCCTATCCTCTTTTGTGAACTGGACCGATACTGCGCTCTTTCCAATTTTACAATTAATATATCCAAATCGGAAGCCCTAAATATCTCAGTCTCTCATTCCCCACATCTCACAGTGAAACATACTGTGCCTTCTCTTTCAAATGGTCTGAATCGTATATCCAATACTTAGGGATAAACATACCTGCGCAATTGCGTAGAATCTTTGAACTTAACATCAGACCTTTAGCAAAAACAATAAAATCCGACATTTGGAAGAGGGATAAAGAAGCCCTCACATGGTGTGGCCTTAATAGTGTCCTAAAGATTAAAGCCTTACCAAGGATTTAACCTGTTACAAACTCATGTTATCAAGCTTCCACCTAGCTTCTTAAAAGTTTTAAGGACTTTATTAAGAAATAAATATCTACATTAATACAGTATATGTCTTTTATAGCCAACTGTTCCTATAGGTTAAACATTGGTGGGAGCAGGGACAAATCACAGGAGGACTTTAACATAGGGCGTATTAAAATTGTCTAAACTTAATGCCTTAGCAAATAAAATCCACAGCAATAAAAATACCTCTTCACTCATTGTCAGAAAAGCATGTAAATATATACTTTGTTTTCTTCAAATTAGTTAGGACATGTTAAAAAAAAAAAACGGTTTTAATTAATAAACTGCTTTATTTACTAGTTATGTTACAATCAAATTGCATTTTCTAGATTCTTGTCTCAGGTGTAAATAAATAATTGTTTCAGAAGAAAATGGTCCCCTGTGTATGAAGTCTGCAATGCCTTTCTCTTGTTGCTTTTATCTATAAATATATTCATATGCTAACACAGTTCAGATGTAATTTCTCATATTACACTTCCTGCTAGTTCATTGATTAAGTGGTCATTGTATGCTTTTCTATTGCTCATCGTGTTTTTACTTGGACTATGCCTGAGAATTTCCTAGTAAGTATATACTGTGTTATGTACAACTCCGTAAATAGTAATCTATGCAGTTACATAAATTCATACATGAGAACACAGGGCATGTTTCCATCAGATTCCCATTGATTGCTTAAGCAGGGAGTCCCCAAAAAAGAACTGGTGAAGAACACCTTCAAATTACTCCCTGCTATATAAACTAGAATTGTGAGGACCCCCAGTGTCAAAAATACATTATATGAATATATTATGTATTACACCAACCAGCCATAACATTGTGACCATCCACGATAACCTGATAAGGAGTGGACTTCACTAGACCTCTGAAGGTATGCTGTGGTATCTAGCACCAAACCGTCAGTAGCAGTTGTAAGGTGGGTCTTCCACGGATTGGACTTCTTTTTTCATTGCATCCCATAGTTGCTTTATGGGTTGAGATCTGGAGAATCTGGAGGCAACACCTCAAACACGTTGTTGTGGTGCTCAAACCATTCTTGAATTCACCAGACTAGGCAACCATCCTTCATTGCTCCTTGGTTCTGTTCTGATGCTCACAGGTCCATTGTGGGTGCTTTTGGCTGTGGACACAGATCAGCATGGGCACCCTGACTGGCATGCAGCCCCACACACAACAACCTTTTTAAGCTCAAAGCCATCAAAAACAAAATGTGGGGCCTGTAAAACCCCTTTAATTACATTTCTCTGTATTTCTTTTACAGGAATTCTACTCTATAAAGCAAGAATTCAATAGGACTATGGTGCAAGAATTTACTTTAATTGCATTCTCCAGTTTAAAACAGCTCCAGTTATTACTGTTTTTCTTGATTTTAGTAGCATACATCATTTGTGTTACAGGAAATATCACCATCATCATCTTAGTTAGGATTGAGCCCTTGCTTCAAACTCCAATGTACTATTTCATAAGTACGTTTGCTGTTCTTGAAATTATATTTGTGACAGTTTGTATACCAAAGCTTCTGGATAATTTGATTTCAGGAAATAAGAGGATATCTTTCATTGAATGTTTCACACAGATGTTTATTTTCAATGGCTTGGGTATGACAGAATGTTATTTGTTACTAGTCATGGCCTTTGATAGGGACTTGGCTATTAACAGTCCTTTACATTATTCTGCTATTATGAGAAAGGAAATGTATACTCTTTTAGCCGTGGTACCATGGATTGGTGGTCTTTTATTGTCTTCTATGACTCTTTTATATACACAGCCAAATTGAAATTCTGTGGACCAAATCAAATAAATCATTTCATCTGTGATTTGGCTCCACTTCAGAATTTGTCTTGCTCTGATCCTACCATGAGCAAATTAGTCACAATAATAGCCACTATTCTTGCTGTAGTTGTTTCAATTTTAAATATCATAGCTTTCTACATTCGTATCATTAACACCATCTCAAAAATCAAGGGAGCTGAAGGCAAACAAAAAGCCTTCTCTACCTGTTCCTCTCACCTTATTGTGAGCAGTCTCTGCTTTGGAGCAGCTACTGTT